TGTAAGAAGTAAAGATTATTTTTGCTTAGTCTTATGCACATAGAGCTTACACTTCTCGTCTCTCGTGCCAGGCCACGCTATAATCCCCAAGTACTACTATGTACCGGCTGACTTTGTGGAGGCGGAGCAGAACAAGCATGGGAGCCAGAAGCGTTTCCCTAGCAACTCTGGCCGTGATGGGAAAGTCTTCCTGTGGGGTCAGGCCCTGTACAACATTGCAAAGCTACTGGGTATGTCTGTGCGTCTGTGCGTCTGTGTGCTTAGTATGTCGACTTGAATCGATGCATTCATTCACTGTACTCTGACATTGATCTGCAAGTTCACGATTAACTTGAAACAAATATGTTTTCAATAGTTTTTCATTATGAATTATTTTTTGTAACTGTAGCTTAATACGTGTCTCACAATAATCCAAGGACCAAGTGTTTATGTGGGGTTTGTTTTCATTAAGTCTTTATGCGTTTACACTTAGTTACTTGTCAATAGTCGTGCGTCAGTATCCCGCGGGGATACTGATCCCACACGGATACTACTCATTAGACTTTTAACTTGATAAATAACCAACATGGAAACATCGAACTCCTCTTTTTTTTCTCTTCTTCTCATCACACTCAAAAACACAAACAAGTTGTCCCTTTTTAAATCACATTTTCTCATCTTCTTTCTGTGTGACATAGGGGGTGGCTGTAGCTCAGGTGGCAGAGCAGGTCAGCCACTAATCAGAAGGTCGGTGGTTCGATCCCAGGCTGCCTCCTGGCTGCATGCCAAATATCCTTGGGCAAGATACTAACCCCATGTTTGCCTACTGGTGGTGGTCAGAGGGCCCGGTGGCGCCTGTGTCCGGCAGCCATCCAGGTGGATGATTGTGTATAGTGTAAAGCGCTTTGGGGTCCTTAGGACCAAGCAAAGCGCTATACAAATGCAGGCCATTTACCACAGTATTCCCTACATTTTAATGGTATTCATATCTACCTTTCGTGGTATGTTTGTGTACATTCACTTTTCAGTGGATGAGCTGATCAGTCCCAAAGATATTGATCCAATTCATCGCTATGTGCCACGACAGGACCAGCGCAATGTCAGCATGCGGTACTCCAACCAGGTAAGCTCTGATGTAACTCTATCTGACGATCATCTGTTATCTACAGGCGTTTATTTTCAGTACGACATCGGATTCAAGTGCTGAAGTGTTGTAAACTTATCCTACCCCCCTGTAAATATGGTTGAAATCAAAGCATTTAAGAGCTTTTAGCCTATGAAGTAATTGCATCTTACACATGATGACAATCATAATCTACTGGTTAGTTTATTCTAGATATCAAGTAGCTGTAAGTGGAATTTTGCTGTAGAGGCAGAAAGTGGGCAGCAAGTGGATTGCTCACTCTGCATTAAAGAAAGAAAGAAAGAATAGGACTTCTATATTTGTCATTTCTATCAACTGGGAGGGGAGTAAAAGGAGTGGAAATGTTAGCAGTTGTAATGAAAAATCAAAAGCTGATTGCAATACACTATATATAATAATAAGAATGTCTCCAGTGGTGATGGTGTTCTCTGCTAGCAGCTTCTCCTCTTGTTTAAAAGTCTACATTTATTCAAATTTGAAACAGATATTTAGATTTTATATTCTTATCAGGCTTATATCTGGATTCTTTATATAATATATTACTGAATTTCCCGGAGGAACCCACCCGAGGGATTAATAAAGTTTCATCTAATCTAATCTAAGCTGCTCCAGGGTTATTCCTGGCATTTCAACAAACACCTGCATCAGAGGTACATAAACAAAAAGGTGGTAGGTGGGTGGAGGTGGTATTTAAAAAGGTGAGGTCCTCACTAAAGCCACTCTTGTTCCATGCCCACGTATTCACTTTTCAAATCTGGATGGATTTATGGGTTGTTGGGTGTAACTCAGACTAGCTCGAAACACAGTTCTTCACCGCACAGTGTTCACAGTCTTTTTTTGACATGGTTTCAAAATGCAGATATACTGTTCGTGCTCTGGAGTTTGCCTAGTCACATGTTACTGAAAACGAGATATCTAAACTGAGCCACGCTGTTTCAGTATCAGCGATCTTAGAAATAACCAGGAAATTGTGGGAGACCCATAACTTATCAGAGTTCTACAGATCTTCATATGCTTTAGCTACTCTGATGTTAAGTTTCATATTTCAGGAGGATTACACAAGCTCACCTATAGTGCAGTTGCATGTGTCAGCCTCAAAGATGTACAGTAACCTCTCAATGCCAACTATACACCCACCCTTACTCCCGCAAGGCAATTCCCGCATCCAACCTTAAACCTTTCACACTACTCAGTCCTGCTTACCACTGTTTGTTATTCATGTGTGGTAAGGTTTTAATTACTATTCATCCATCAACATCTAAACAAGCAGAAACTCCCGCATCTTATTTTACCTTGCCAAAGGCCGGGCTTGCAGACGAGGATTAAACCCAGTCAATTTTCTCCACAAACTACCTCCCTGAATAGCAATCATGTCTGAGGTTTAATTCTGTATCTGAGATGGCCGGCAGCTCTGTGGATCACACAGATGAAGGGTAGAGATACATGCACACTGGAATGATTTTCATTTTCTTTGTTGTACAGCATCCTATTCTGTTGCTGTATGATGAATTGTGTTTTTGAAGCTAGGTCTATAAGACAGTACTAGAACAAGGCACACAAGAGAGGACGTATCCTCAGAGGTATGATGAACACTAGACGGGATCAAATAGGTTGCCTGTAAAAAGAACAGCAGACAGAACAGACGGAGAGAAACAAACAGCGAGCCAGAAATGGAAAAGATCATGTCAGGAAAAAATCAGCAGAAAATCATTTGTGAAGTGAGAAATATTTGGTTCTGAGATGAACACGTATATTTTTAACTTTGTGGGGCTCACAAATATTCTTCAACTCGAGGAGGGCCACACTTACTGAAAGGTTTGGACATTTGCAAGCTCTGTGAAGACGTAACTCATCTCTCTTAATTCTGAATAATTGTTAAAGAAGGAAGCTCCCACGCCCATTTGACTCCGTTACAGTTTTTGTTTACAACTTGTCTTGCCAGCTAGCAACTGAGCGCAGTTCAGGAGATAAGGGTTTGGTCTGCATGTGTTCTTTTATTATGAAAACTGACCTGATGCTTTATGCTGTGTCGTTGTGTCGTTCTGTTGACTTCATCAGGGGAAAGAGGTGGGAAGTCTGGGCTTCTCAGCCCTGACCCCACAACCCAAACCCAGGTACTGCTTTTAGCAGGTATCCAAAAAATTAGGCAGTGGTATGATAGCAAGCATTGGCTTTAGCAATTAGGATCAAGTCGAATCAGTTTCATCGGCCATTATATCAGGAGCCCAAAGGCGTTCTCCCAATGGATTTCAGGCATTAGTTCCAGCACAGGGCATTCAAGTACTGTGGGTGACAACACAGGTGTATAAAATGTATGTTATTTTCACTCTTTTCAAACACACCTTCAAGAAACAGCATAGGTACTCGGAGTCATTGATCTTCTAAGCATAGATTACTTACTAAGCTCTCTATGATCTTTGCATTTTGGAACAACCGTTGATTTTTAGCTGGGATCAAACGGAGAGGATTTTAAATATGTGTGTTTGTATTTGTTAATAGGATATCTACATATCAGCATCTTGGATGCAGAGGGATTGTTCTCAAAAGGAAATCAGTATGAGTATGTTTAGCTGGCAGCGCTGCTTTTATGAATTCAGTGTTTAAAGACGTGTGCCTTGTGTGCTAGACTCCTGTTAGGAGTAGGAGTAATGCTCAGAAATTTTCTAACAATAATACTCTTGAAAGTTGATTTGCAGGCAGTGTGAAAGCTTGCTGCGAACCTGGCCTCTGATGGTAGCTGGCACGACTCTGTGTGAAACCCATCAACAAAAGCCTATCGTGTTGAGTTTGATGTTTTCAGTCTCACGCAGTCCAAATAAATGTGTGAATCGTCTTACTTCAACTTTAGTTCTGAGAAACCTCAAGGAAATTCTGGTGTTTTGTGACAATGACGACACACTCATTAAATCCTTTTATGGTTGAAAGAAAGGTTCGAGTTTTTTATCATAGAACTGCTTCCGTAGGTGAGAAATATATGACCTCACCTGTGAGTGGTCACATAGGAATTTATAAAAGGTAATAATAGACAATATTGCAGTGTATATAAAATGATGATTGCTGTCTGTACATCTGTATCTGAAGGTCAAATAGGAACTCTTTCTTTAGATCATGTAAATTTTCAAGAAGAATTAAGCTTTTAAAAAGTCTATAGCATGTGTATCGTCTCCAAGTGTCATAGTTTCCATTTTCCTTTGTGTGCTCGCGTCGACCTGGATCCAACTGATGGAAGTGGTGGAATATGGACATTTCCGAAAGCTGTGACTAAAGTTTACTGAGTGCCTGTCTAACAGTAGCTATTTAACACACAACTAGTACTTCATCACTCCTTGGACATTAATGTTTTTCATCTGATATTTTTTTATGGTTTTGCTGTCGTTATCATCAAAAATACCTCGTCTTATCTGGTCTAAAGTAGCCATAAGTTGTGATATATACATTTTTAAAGACAGATATAATGGACTCTTGAAGGCTGTGCTTGTGATGAATATTAAAACTAATTTTGCTTAAAATGTGAAATAATGATATTAATGTTTATACTTGGCCCATTGGGGCTTATGAAAGGAAGCATGACTGACATATAATCACCGTTACAGCCCAAGCAGGCTGTGTGGGTTATCCTGCACTGTCTCCGAGTCATGTGCCAGCCCTTGTTTCCTGTGGAGCCAATTTCCACTTAGTAATCAGCACTGGCTTAAAACTGGTGTGAGAAGTTTGCCAGCTCAAAGTGTGGGCCAGTGTTGAGCTACCAGTGAGTGGTTTTGTCCTCTTGCTAGCAAGAAGCGTTTTTGTATTTTTCTTTTAGAATTTTTGTGCTTCTGTTTTAGGCCTTTGATTGGCATTACCTAGCTATTTCCCATTTATTAAAATACTGTTTTATTTGTGAATCTGCTTTGTCTGACTTTTTCTTTAGTCAGATACTTTATGATAAGTATTCCTCCCCTCCTCCTCCCCACTCTTTTGTTGAGAACATAACATTTGGGCAAATGTTTTCAGACTTAGAAATATGCACAGTTTTTAGATAAAAAATAACAGTCACAGATTTAAGCTAATGTGACAAGCCTGGTAGAAAATAGCTGGTTACTTTTGCAGCTGCACACTGAACATTTTAGGTGTACTTGCACTGCGAATGCCATTTACAAAGCTGTGATAAAGATTTGAAAGGAGACAGCATTTCAAACAGGGGTGTTGCAGGTGAGGCAGGTGTTTTGCTCTTCTGTCTGCATATCAGTAAATATGAGAAATCTTTTCAAGCGGTGCCACCTGAAAGCTTATGTGGAGAGGATTTTATTTTCCTGTAAGACAGGAATGCCAGGGTTGTTTATTCATACGGCTGGTGCTAAGCTTAGCGTTTCTTGGGGTCAAATGGCCACAGAATTTGTAGACTTCATCCTCTATAACCATTTATCCTCCACTGCTTCTCACCTTTACTTTTTTCTTATTGCTTTATAATAAGTCTTGCTGGATCATAATCTTGTGTTCGTTTTGCTTTTTTCCCCTTAAAAAAATCCCCCTTTTAAAAAATCTCTTTTTTTATTTTTTTCTGCCAACTTACCAGCTTTCTCTCACTCACACCTTTGTTTACTCAGTTTGAAGCTTAGGTATCATGTTGTGTCAGTAAAGAGGCCCAAGATGGGAAGAGGAAAAAATATGAGTGAGAGGAGAGGAAAAGAAAGAATAAGAAATATAGTGTATAGTGTGTGTGTGAGAGAGAGACAGAGAGTTGTTTTTGGTTACATGTATCAGCTGTCCAGTTGCTTCTGCATCACCAGCATCTTGTGTTTGGTCTGCAGGCGGAAAAGACACATGGGCATGCTGAGCTTTCACATGCAGTTAAGGCCTGATTTGTGCACTCCTATTTTCTCTTCTGTGTGTATATAATTCGGTTCTCATAATGTGTCCAAAAACAGAATACCTGTTCTATGCATACATACATACAGGCTCTACATATGTCTTTGCATGACATCTCAGTCTCTATATGA